GTAGGGAGGCTCCGGATGTTTTGATTCTCCAAGAAGTTAAGAGAAGAGAGGTTGATAGAAGATTTGTGGGGAGTATATATGGCAATCAAGATTTAAGGAATGGGTTTTGCTACCGGCTGTAGGTTGTTCGGGGGGGATTTTGGTTGTTTGGGATGTTAGGAGAATTAAGGTAGTAGAGAGTTTTTTAGGAGATTTCTCGGTCACAACAAAAGTTAAGGAAGACGGGGAGTTTTGGTGGCTGTCAGGGGTGTACGGCCCTGGTCATCATGGTAAGAGGGGGCTGTTTTGGGATGAGTTAGCTGGATTGTGGAGAAGCATGGGGGATTTTAATGATCTTATTAAGGAATTGAAACTAGTTGACCCGCCTCTTCACAATGCAAAATTTACATGGTCCAAATTCAGAGATTCTCCCATTCCTTGTAGATTGGATCAATTCTAATTCTCTAAAGGTTGGTGGGAACTTTTTCCATTTGGGTGTCAAGAGGCGACAGTTCGTGCAGTTTCCGATCACTGTCCACTTTTGTTTCACACTAAACCACCGAAATGGGGGGCATCTCCTTTCAGATTCGATAACAATGTGAAAGGAGATGCCCCCATTTCGGTGGTTTAGTGTGAAACAAAATTGGGAGTTTAGGGCCTTGAAACTCCGGATGTATTTGCTTAATTTTAAAGAGTTAATTAGGCTCATGAAAGGGTGGTCGGTGGAGGAAGAAGTCGGAGGGTGGGAGGGATATAGAATAATGAAGAAGTTGAAACTGTTGAAAGAAAAGGTGCAAAATTAGAGTGCGGAATCAGTGGGGCTGATTAGGTAGAGAAGAGAAAAGTTTTAAAGAGGGTTGAGGAGATTGATCGAATAGAAGGAAGCTCCGAATGGTCGGTGGATCTGGTAGAGGAGAGGAGGGAGTTAAAACATAGACTTTTCAGCCTACTTGAAAGGGAGTTTAGGGCCTTGAAACTCAAATGCAAGTCTATTTGGGCCAGAAAAGGAGGCGTGAATACTAAACTTTTTCATCGATTCTTGAGTGCGAGGAGAACACGAAATACAATTTTGAAATTGGAAACGAAAGAAGGGGTTATTGTGGAAGATGAGGAGGAGATTATAAAGAAGATTGTTGAATTTTATGATAATATCTTCGAATCATCACGAGGCAACTTTATTGGAGTTGATGCGTTAGAGTGAAACCCGATCTCTAATGTGGCAGGCGGCAGAATTATTGGAGAAACCATTTGAAGAGGAAGAAATCAAGAGAGTGGTCTTCAGTTGTGATGGTAACAAGGCTCTGGGTTCGGATGGATTCACACTTTCCTTTTTCCAAGAGTGTTGGCACTTTGTGAAAGGTGATATTCAGAATGCTCTCGACGAATTTTGGAGGTCAGGAATTATTAATAAAATCACCAATGAAACATACATTTGCCTTATTCCTAAAAAGTCAAATTCTTGCAGAATCAAAGATTTCAGACCCATCAGTTTGGTCTCGAGTTTATATAAGACTATTTCGAAGGTGCTTTCGAATCGGCTCAAGGTTGTGCTTGAAGAAACAATCTCTATAGTCCAAGGTGCTTTTGTGGCTGAACGACAGATCCTAGATCTTGTTTTGGTAGCAAATGAGGTGGAGTACTATAGGTCATCAAGAAGAGAGGGGGTGGTGGTGAAGATTGATTTTGAGAAAGCATATGATCATGTTCAATGGGAGTTTCTAGATTTCGTTATGGAGAAGAAAGGTTTTGGAGCTAGGTGGAGAAAGTGGATCAAAGGATGTATTGGGTATTAACGGTAGGCCAAAGGGGAAGTTTTTAGCTTCGAGATGGTTGCGACAGGGAGACCCTTTGTCCCCATACCTGTTCACTATTGCAGTAGATGTTCTAAGCAGGTTAGTTGACAGGGCCGTTGAAGTCTCTCTCTTTAAACCACTCAGTGTGGGCAGGGTAAATGTCAAAGTCAGCCAGTTACAACTTACAATTTGCTGATGACACATTATTTTTCAGCTCATCGGATGAGGACAGTTTGTCGAATCTCTCCTTTGTCTTGCAGATCTTCTGTTTAATCTCAGGTCTGAAAATAAACTTGGAAAAAAGAATTATTCTTGGTATAAATTTGGAGGAAGAAAGGTTGTTTACGTTAGCACGTGTTATCGGATGTTCAGTTGCTTCGTGGCCAGTCAAATATTTGGGGCTACCTTTAGGCGGAAATTCCTTGCAAGCTGCTTTTTGGGATCTAGTGGTTGCTAGAGTGGCGAAAGATTGGATGGGTGGAAGTTAGCATTTTTATCTAATGGTGGTAGGTTAACCCTCATTCAGTCAATTCTAGCCCTCGTGCCTGTTTATTATTTGTCGGTTTTCAGAATTCCAGTAGGAGTGGCAGACGTTATTGAGAAACTCATGAGTGACTCTTTCTGGGAGGGCTACTTTGATGAAAATTCGACTCACTTGGTGGCTTGGGAATAGGTGTGCAAACCTAAAGAACTGGGAGGGTGGGGTATTGGTAATTTAAGGAAGAAAAATGAAGCTCTGTTAGCTAAATGGTGGTGGAGGTTCCCATTGGAAACAGAAGCCTTGTGGCATAAAGTCATCGTTGGGAAGTATGGATTGAATCAAAATGGTTGGGACTCAGGGGTAGCGTGTCCTTGGAAATCAGTCCAGGCAGTGGCTGATATTTTTTTTTTCCAAAGGGTTAAATGGAAAATTGGATCGGGAGAAATTGTGAGATTTTGGGAGAATTGTTGGAGCGAAGGAGGACCTTTATGTTTACGATTTCCTGCCCTATACAGAATCTCTTCACTTAAAGAGCAGTAAGTTGCAAGTTTTGTTTCTGAAGTGAATCTTCTGGATAGAAGTGTCAGTTCGTGGGATTTCAGATTCTCAAGGAATCTAACAGATAGAGAATTGAGGGAGGTGTCGGAGTTAATTATTATTGCGGAGAGGGTTAGGGTCACAGCTCGATTCAAGATGGAAGGAAGTGGATGCCAGATCATAACGGCTTGTTCTCTGTCAAATCACTTTTTACTCCGTTGATATGTAATTCTTCATCTCAGCGAGTTCCATTTTTTGAGAATATATGGAAAACTCGTGCCCCCACAAAGGCTAAAGTCTTCTGCTGGCTTCTAGCGATTAATAAAGTGAACTCTCATGAGTCACTGCAACGTCGAAGCCCTTTTATCTCGATTTCTCCAGGCTGGTGCTATTTATGTAGGGCTAACGAGGAGACTTCTGATCACATGTTCCTTCACTGCCGCTACTCCCGCAGGATTTGGTCTCTTCTCCTTAAGGAGTTTGGTTTTCCTTGGGTGATGCGGGGAGTTGTGCTGAAATGTTGATTTTTTCTCCTCCTGGATTTAGTCAAAGGGGACTGATTTTATGGAGGGCTGCAAGTTCTTTTACTTTTTTATTAAAAGAAAAAAAAAAAAAAAGATTCATTAAGTTTGTTAGAGTTTGTAAAAGACTTACTAGTCCTTTGTAGTTTCTTTCTTTTCCTTGGGCAGTCCCTTGTATGTTTCAATGAACCATCATATTTCATGCTAACTCAAAAGAGAAATCCCAACTAATGACTCCAACATGGCTAGCGCAAATCTTAAGTCACCAAAAACTTAACTCTTAAGGTTCATAAATAGGATGCAAAGGCTAGAGAAGCTTAATAGCTTATTAAGCCAAAACATGGTGTCATGACCTAAATCTAACTGTGCTCAAACCTCAAAAGGAGAAGTGTTCCTTAGTCACTCACAAACTCAATGTTAAACAACAATTACTTGACTAATTATGAAATTGGTACATCAAAAACATGAAATTCAAGCTAAAGAATTTGTGAAGAATGAAGAACATCAACTTTAATCATAAAACTAGTTGCTAAAATAATCGCCCTTGTAAGAACACATCATTAAAGGGGTTTTGAACACATTTCTAAAACTGAAACTTAAAAGATTTTTTTTTTTTTTTTTAATTTAGCGACATGCAAGAGAGAATCCACACACCAAACTTATATACAACAAAAGTCTTCAAATCTCAAAGAAATTTAACTAGGACGATAGAGATTCATTAAACAATAGCAAAACAAGAGATTTTGACAACTTTGTAATAGATTATCATACAAAACAAGAAAAATTACACCAAAAAGAAAGCAAAATTAAGAATTTTGAAGACATTGAAAAATCAAAATAAAACACTACCTCTTGCTCTTTGAATTCCACATGCAAAGTTTCCAAGCTCATGAGCTAAACAAGATTGAAACACCAAATCAAGAGAGGGATTCGAATTGGAAACATGCAACTACTTTATGAAAAACATAAAGTCTAAGAATCCTACCTTAGCTTCCACAAATGTTGAGAAAGACCTTCAAATTTTCTTGAATCCTTCTAAAATTAGGAATACTAATGACAAATGGAGTGGAAACCCTCTAGTTGAGCTTTGATTTGAGTCACTCATGGAGAAGGGAGAGAGAAACCGTGGGAGTTAGAGAGAGAGAGGAGGAGAACGTGAGAGAGTGAGGGAGAGAGATAGAGAGAGAGCTGAAAGAGAGTGGGGAAGAATAAGAAAGGCAAAGAAAGAAAAGGAAAGGAAAGATAATAAGCTTCGGCCTTTTCTTTTTTTTTTTTTTTTTTTTCCTCCACCAAAGTTACCAAATAATTGACTTGTTAACTCCATCAAGTAATGTACTTGGTAAAAATAAAAGTAATAAAAATCCCTTTTCTAGAAATCAACTTCAAAATAATTTTATTATTTAAAGATTAAAGAAAATAAATTATCTCTTAGTATTTCTAATATTAATCAAACGAAATAATATTCACTAAAATCCACGAGGGGCTTATTTGCAACACTATCTAGTAGTTGGGAGCAGAGCATAATAATTCAAAGGTTGAGTGATCAAACTACTATTTCTGAAAATAAATTCCAAATTGCGAAAAATTTATAATGAAATAATTATAACTGAAATTAAAACGCAAATTTTTAAATTAATTAATACTAACAACTGAATTAAACTAATTAATCTCAATTAATTTAATTGCGTGTTACAAAAACGAACTTGATCTAACATGTCCTAAGTAGTATATAAAAATGTAAATGATCAAATCTTAACCTCACCACTGTACAGATGCTTCAAGCTTAAGAGCATGAATGCTTTTCAAAATCTTCCGTGTCACATGATCAGGCACTAGTCCTTTCTGGATCATGTCCTTGAGAAGCTTGAGAGCGACATAAACTCTTTTGACCTTTAAGTAACCGTGAACCAAGGTGTTATAGGATATGGTGTTAGGAAGAGCACCCTTTACTGCCATATGATCGAACACGTCTTTGGCTTTGTCCATTTCACCTTGCAAACAGTAGCCCTTAATCAATGTGTTGTAAGTGATTGTATTAAGCTCTTTGCCATGTTCAATCGTTACCTCAAATAATTTTTCAGCTTTCTCCATCATACCTTCATTAATCAGAGCATTCAAAATTATATTCAGAGTTCTAATATTAGGAAAAGTTTTCCGACTTGGAATTCCATCAAACAATTTCTTAGCTTCTTCCAATTTATCAAAACGGCACAATCCAATAAGTAAAGAGTTGCAGGTAATCACATCAGGCAATACACCTTTATCAGTTATTTCTTCTACAAGATGAAGCACCTCTGCAATGCTTCCTTCCTTGCAGCGAGCATCCAACAGAGCGTTCAATGTGACAATATCGGGAGAGATTCCGTAACCCGCCATGCTTTCTAAGAATCGTGTCACTTCTTTCCATTGACCACACTTGCACAAATTAGAAATCAAAGAAGTGAATGTCACAACATTAGGCTCTACACCTTTACTAGTCATCAACTCGAACAATCTAACTGCTTCTTGAGCTTTTTCTTCCTTGAAAAGAGAGTCAATTAATAAGGTATACATAAATGCATCAGGTAAGATTCGGCAATCAATCATCTTGATTAAAAATCTCTCGACTTCTTTCCAACGACCCGATTTGCTTAATCCGTGAATTAAACAAGTATAACAAACAACATTTGGCCTAACACCATAGTTGATCATATCTTCAAACATGCCGAGGGCCTCGTCCACTCGCCTTTCTTTACAAAGGCTGTCAATGATTGGTATGAAACAGTCTACGACGGGTCTAATCCTCCGATCTTCTTGCATTTGCTTAAGTAGCTCAAGCGCCTTCGAAGTTTCTCCAGCCTTACAAAACCCATTAATGACGGTCGTGTAAGTAAATTCATTACACAAGTTTTCCTCCTCAACTATTTCGCCAAAAAACAACATCGCTGCGACCATTGAGCCTTCGTGGCAAAGCCCGTGGAGCAGAGTATTCATTGTATGAGCATTGTACTGAAGACCACTTTTAAGCATAGTTGCTAAAACAGAGAAACCAAGTTTAACCTTCTTCATACGACACAGACATTTGATGACAATATTCAACGTGCCGACTTCAAGACTAAAATAATCACAACCCATTATCTCTCTATACATAGAGACAACAATGGAATAATGTTTCATGTTGGAGAGTGAGCCAAGCAATTGATTGAAAGTCCAAATAGAGGGCATGGGTCGCATTTGAACCATGGAATCGAAGTAACCCAAAGCTTCTTCTATTGTTAGGTTTCTGGATTTACATTTTGTTTGGATCAATTTCTCCAAATGGGCAACAGAATTTTCACCGATAATATTCATAGAAGCGCAAGAACAGAATTGGGTTGTGAAAATTCTGAGGAGAGAAAGGAAAGAAGGATTACCAGGAGGTGTTGTGGTCAGCAATCGGATTCTCATCGTCGATTTCTTCTGGGATTTCAGAAGCCCGAGTTATGATGAAAGTTTCTGCTGATGTTTTGAGATTGGGGAAGTTGGAAGATTGGTAAAATTGTCGGCACGAATTGGAGAAGCGGAGTCAGAGGCGACATGGAATGGAATGGAATTGATGGCCGCATTCAGAATTGTGTTTTAGTTGTTTTCAAAATCGTTTTTCTGTCTTCGGAATTGTTCTTATAAATAAAAACGATGTTAAAATTTTAGAATAATTAAAGACAAAAAAATTAAAAAAAATTTTTAATTTATTGTAAAATAGAAGAAAAATAAAAAATGATTTTTATTTTTTATTTTTTATTTTTATGTTCTCTTTTCTGGAGTAAAGAGAGACATTAATGAGTTTTTTTTTTTTTTTTGATGTTTTATACTGAAAACAATCTCTTGATAAAACAACTAAACGCATTTTTAAAAATGATTTTTGTCTGAGATTGAAAACGTTTTCATTTTCATTTTTATACAAAAAATAAAATTATTTTAAAATGAGTTCTAAACGCGCCCATAATTTCTAAATGAGAAAGTAATACTTCCTGAAACATGCATTTAGCTTTGCAATTTTTCAACCCCATAAGCCACAATTATCGTTCTTTTCCCCGAGAGTGACTAATTACGACACGATTAGAACTGAAATGTACGTGTGACAATTATAGACGTATATTTAGATAGATCAATTGTTCCACTCGGGTCATTATGTCCCATGTCTGAGAATATTTCTTTTCTTGTTTTTTTCCCTGAATGTATAGTAGATAATGAATTATTAGTTAAATATTTGATAGTGAGATAAATAATTTATTTAGAGAAAATAAATTAACATAAATAATATATGTACAAAATATTAAATATGATTTTCATCGCTGACTTTGCGCCGTGGCAGGGATCTAGCTCCTTACTGATTAAAAAAGAAATGAAGAACACAAGCCTGAGTAAACGCTAATGGGTACACGAAAGGGAAAAGGGATCGCTATGCATTATTTTAATAAGGACGTGACAAGAAATAATTAATAGACGCTTTAATAATCATTTTATTGATTATAATATAAGTTAAAATTAGGGGATATGCTTAGGATAAAGTGTGTATCGACAAGTATAGATTTGG